GGGTTAACGTGGGCATTTTAACTACATAAACCTTTAGAATTATTAAACCAATAGTCAAAAGGAAACTTTTCTTAAAATTACGTCAGTTCTCATAAAATTAATAATCTACAAAGTTAAATAAAACTTGGTGGTCAGCCAATTCTTTCTGGTGATTGTATCTGTTGTGTGGTCAATTAGTACATGACTCACTGTTCTTGACGTTTCTCACCATTGTGTTTCTTTTTTCTTGTCCTCGTATTAGCCTTAAACTTATTACTACCAGCAAGCATAAATTATATGTCTGACTCAAAATTGAGACGGCAGCGATTGTGGTTTCAAAGTGTTAAACAAACCTTATATATATATTTTAACTTTGATTTAATGATTCTCATATTTCTATAGGCATGAACCTATTGTTTATTTGGAAAAGGAATAAAAGATATTTGAACAGCTTTATCATGTATGTACTTAATATAGCTGCTGTGTGGCCCAATGTAAAGTGTCAAAGTGCACAGCACCATCCGTCACAAAACCAGGTGCATTCTAAATTCCATCTATAATCTTTATTTTTAGGAGAGAAAGTTGTGCATCATATGTTTTTGTCCCAATATCTTACTAAGGTGTTTTTACTTAACTTAGGACACCAATGAGTAACAGGGTTTCTACTCATTCTTTCTCATAAACTTAATTCTTTTTATAGTATCTTTTTCCATTAATTCCAACCATTCTCTTACCATTAATATAATCCCCTGTAAATGACGTTTGCCAACTTAAGTCATATTTAGAACGTCCCCTAGGAGGGTACCAAATTTTTCCTTACCACATTTTATAACCCGTATAATCATTTACCCAGATGGTGGGAAGAGGGTGGGGATTTCTATTGTTTATTAATTTCTTTGGTAAAAACAATTGCTCATGGCTATTCATAAGGTGTTTTTAAAACATCCATTGGTATAATAAATTGGCTCAAAAGGGACAATTTGGAATTGTTCAATCTTCCCAGATCTTTTGTGGAATAATCTAATTTTACGACAACAACTGTTTGTGTGTCATTTTTTGCATCTTTTGGAAACTCAGGAAACTGCCACGCTGACCAAAACATCAAAAGAGAAAGTGAAAGCAGCACCACTATACCGAGGCAGAGATCTTTACAGTGAAAGCAAGTGCTGGTAGCTGTGGCCCTGCCAGCAGCTCTCCCTCCGGGGCCTTGCCAGCTCGGAAAGGGCAGCCCAAGCTATTCTTTTCAAGACCCCGCCATGGCGTGGACCACACCACTAATCACCTTCCAAAGTCCCCATCACTTCAGGGGTTAGGATTTCAGCATATGAATTGGGGGGGGGGACACAAACATTCAGACACAGATGTCTTGTTTATAAGAATTTTACCTCATTGAAAAAATATGTGGATATTTGGTAGAAAATGGGCACAGTGGCTTGGCCTTTCTTGTTTAAGATCAAGGGCCAAAATTTTTGTATCTAATTAATTCTTATAAGAAGGAAAAAGAATTAACATGGCATACTGCTGGAAGTCCTTAGACCCCAACTAACAATTTTCCCAAAGGAGTCCCCATAAAAGGGAATAATTAATGAAGGTAAAAGATGAAATTATTAAAATAAAAAGAAAAGTATGAATAATATGTAAAATGAAAACCTGGTTTACACTGAGAAGACCAAAAACATAGACTCCCACAAGGTTTATTTATCGAAAGGGGAGAAAAAATAAGTTATACAATATTAGGGATTAAAAAGGAGATATAAGCACAGAAAAAGATGAGATTAAAAGAATTAGTGATCATATAAAACTATGGGGGATCAGTGAGAAATTGGTAAAGGGCCACAAAAAATTATTACAATATGTAAGTTTGAATATAATAATTACCCTGATTTGAGCATCACGTATTGCTGATATTTGACGCTGTACTCCTCAGATATGTACAATCAATTATGTTTTAATAAAAAAAAACTATGGCAATGAATTTGAGAATTCAGTAGGAGTATAAATTATAGTGTTAGCTCAAAATCTGTCCAAAAAAAGTTACTTTGTACCTGTACACTTACCAGCCAAGTGGAATATATACAGTAAAGGATTTTGCTGTGTTTGCCTCACAGTACAGAATTTTCTGTCTCTCCTACTTAGGTTCTAGTCTAACGGCTCTCTTTATTTTACAGAACAAGATTCCTGTTGGGAAATTGAATGGCTGCTGAGAAAATGAACATCATTATTGATTTGGAAACTAACTATGCTGAGCTCGTTCTGGATGTGGGAAGAGTCATTCTTGGGGAGAAGGACAGAAAAAAAATGGCAAATAGTCAACTGAGAAAAAAGCAAAATGAAAAAGTCATACAAGCTGTGTGTGCTGCACTGAATTCTGGAGGGGGAGTGATCAAGGCTGAAATTGAGAATAAAAACTATCGTTACCAAAAAGATGGAATAGGACAAGATTTGGAAAATTCTTTTTGTAATATTGTGTCATTTGTCCCCAAATACCTAGACTTCGTGCAGAAAGATCACTACTTTTTGATTTTTGTGAAATCATGGAGCTTGGAAACCTCTGGTCTTCGGATTGCCACATTGAGCTCCAATTTGTACAAAAGAGATATAACTTCTGCAAATGTCATGAATGCGGCTGCTTCACTGGAGTTTCTCAAAGTCATAAAAGAAACTAGAGGGAGATCTCGTTTAAGACCAAAATTGCCTGCAAAGAGGGCTCATATTGATGCACAAGAAGAAAATAATGTGGAAGTTTTGGCTGCTGACTTTTTTAACAGGACAAAACTTATATACAAAGAAAAGTTTGACTTTACTGAATCCACACATGTTGAAATTAAATACTTCTCAACAGGAAAGTTGTTACAACGCATTAAAGAGATTCTCCCTCAATATGTTTCTGCATTTGCAAATACTGATGGGGGATATTTGTTCATTGGTTTAGATGAAAAAGAACAAGAAATAATGGGCTTTAAAGCAGAAAAGAGTGATCTCAGTGAGTTAGAAAAAGAAATAGAAAAGTCCATTAGTAAGCTGCCTGTCCATCACTTCTGTGAGGAGAAAAGTGAGATAAATTACTCATGCAAATTCCTTGAAGTATATAAAGAAGGAAGTCTTCACGGATATGTCTGTGCACTCAGAGTGGAGCGATTCTGCTGTGCAGTGTTTGCTAAAGAGCCCAATTCCTGGCATGTGAAAGATAACTGTGTGATGCAGTTGACCACGGAAGAATGGGTCCAGTTCATGATGGATGCTGAGCCAGGTTGAAGAATGGGGATTAGCAATAAAGATACATTTGGCTCGGGTGACAGAAAGGGTTTTTTGGGGGGATTTGGGACAATGATCAATAGTCTTCAAATTTTTTTTTCCTTTTTGTCTTTTTTCGTGACCGGCAACGGATCGCAACCCTCAGTGTCGCGCCCGTACCGGACCGGGATGGCAACGGGATCGCAACCCTCGGTGTTGGGCCCACACCTCGCTCAGCCAGTGAGCGGCCGGTCTGTATGTGGGATCCGAACCCTCGGCGGGAGCGCCACCGTGCTCCCAAGTGGCGCACTGTAGCAGTGCACCACCGGGCCGGCCCAATAGTCTTCAAATTTCAACACCTAATTTACTAATCTCTTATGGATACAATTAATAGTTGACTGCCTCTTGTTTTCTTCTACCCACTTGGAAGATAAACAGACACAATGTAGCCCTAAACAATACCATAAAAAAGAGTAATTCAATTACAATTTAGGGCTACATTTTGGCTCACAAATGTGAGAGGAAGAGGAAAGAGGTTTTAAGGAAAATAAATGGAAAGGGGTAAAGAAGGATGAAGGAGCAAGTAAGTAAAAGAGGCAAGCGTTCCTGAGAGAAAGAAATGATTTCTGCTCTTATCTTTCTTTCTTTTTTTTTTACTTTCTATGTGTGTAGTTTGCTGTTCTTGTCTGGCTTTAAAGCTGGAAATCTGGATAATTGATTTTAAGTCCTCTTTTCTTTTCCAGAAATGCATTTTAGAGCCCTTGATTTCCCTCCAAAGTTTGTTTTAAGCACATCCAAAAGGTTTTAATATGTTATATTTTCATTTTCATCTAGTTCAGTGTATCTTTTTATTTCCATTGTACTTTCTATTTTAATAAATGGGTTGTTTGGAAATACGTTGCTTAATTTTCAAACACTGGGGATTTTCTATTGAACTTTCTGCTACTTAACATTCTTGGACAGTCTTGCGGGAAGGTTGAAATTTTAAATATCAACCCATTTTAAACAGATAATAGATGTATTATCTATTGCTATGTAATAAATTATCCCAAAATTTAGCAGCTTAAATTAGCAAGAAACATTTATTATCAAACAACTATCATTGTTTTAATAGTTTAGTAATCTAGAAGTGGCTTAGTTGGGTGATTCTGCCTCAAGGTCACTAGGTTATCCACGGGCAGAGGTTGCAGTCTCATTTGAAGGCTTGACTGGGGGAGAATCTACATCCATGCCAACTCACATCGTTGTTGTTTGGCATCAGTTCCTCTTTGGCTGTTGGCCAAATACTGTAGTTTCTTACCATGTGAGTCTCTCTAAGAGTTGTCTGAGTATCCTCATGGAATGGCAGCTGGTTTCCCCAGGGTGAGCTTTCTTCTTGTTGCTCAAGATTGCTTTGGCTACTACTTGGGGTCTTTTGTGTTTTCATATGAATTTTTTTTTTCTATTTCTGTGAAAAATGTCACTGGAATTTTGATAGGGTTTGCATTGAATCTGTATATCATTGTGAGTAGAATGGGTATTTAATGATATGAATTCTCCCAATCCATGAACACAATGTGTCTTTCCATTTATTTGTGTCTTCTTCAATTTCTTTCATCAGTGTTTTATAATTTTCAGTGTACAGATCTTTTATCTCCTTGGGGAAATTTATTCCTAAGTAATTTTTTTTAATAACTATTGTAAATGGGATTGTTTTCCTGATTTCTTTCTTTCTTTTCTTTTTCTTTTTTTTTTTTTCCTTTGGATAATTAGGTGTTGGTGTATAAAAATGCTACTGATTCTTTTTTCATGCCAATTTTTTATCCTGAAACTTTATTGAATTTGTCAGTTCCAACAGTGTTTTGGTGGAGTCTTTAGGATTTTCTATATATAAGTTCACGTTATCTTCAGTGACAGTTTAACTTCTTTTCTGATTTGGATGCCTTTTATTTATTTTTCTTCCCTAATTGCTGTGGCCAGGACTTCCAGTACTATGTTGAATAGAAGTGATATGAGTGGGCATCCTCGGTCCTGATCTTAGAGGGAAATATTTCAGATTTGCACCACTGAGTATGACGTTAGTCGTGGGCTTTGTTGTGTTGAAGCTCATTCTTCCTATACCTAATTTGTTGAGAGTTTTTATTATGAAAGAATGTTGAATTTTGTTGGATGGTTTTTCTGCACCTGTTAATATAAGCACATGGTTTTTGCCCTTCATTCTATTAATGGGGAGTATACATTTATTGATTTGCCTATGTTGAACCATCCTTGCATACCAGAGATAAATTCCTCTTGATCATGGTGAATGATCCTTTTAATGTGCTGTTGGATTCGGTTTGCTAGTATTTGGTTGACAAGTTTTGCATCTGTGTCCATCAGTAATATTTTCAGTGTAATTTTCTTTCCTTTTAGTTCGTTGTCTGGGTAATGCTGATCTCACAAAATAAATTTGGAAGTATTCCGTCCCCTTCAATTTCCTAGAACAGTTTGAGAAGGATTGGTATTAGTTCTTTAAACATTTGGTAGAATTCTTGCTGAGCTTCTTTTATTTGGGAGTTGATGTCTTTAATCAGCTTTGAAAAACTAATTATGTTTATCTCTTCAAATATTGCTTATGTCTTGTTTTTCTCTTCTTGTGGGATTCCTAGTGCAAATATGTTGACCTTTTGACCATCTCTGACATGTCTCTCATCCTGTGTTTTTTCATTCCTTTTCTTTCTGAGTTTTAATTTGGACTTTTTTTCTACCATCCTGTCTTCCTATTGATTAATCCTGTTGTCTTCTATGTTCTGTCTGTTGTTAAACATTATCAAATAAGTTCGTAATATCAGATATTGTATTTTTTTTCCTTTTTGACTTTTTTTTTTACTGACTGGTAACGGGATCGCAACCCTCGGTGTCGCGCCCGTACCGGGGACCGGCAACGGGATCGCAACCCTTGGTGTTGTGCCCGCACCACGCTCAGCCAGTGAGCGGGAACTGGTCTCCACATGGGATCCAAACCCTCAGCAGGAGCGCTGCCGTGCTCCCAAGCGGCGCACTCTCCAGTGCGCCACCGGGCCGGCCCTAGATATTGTATTTTTTTTTTTACTGACCGGTAACGGGATCGCAACCCTCGGTGTCGCGCCCGTACCGGGGACCGGCAACGGGATCGCAACCGTCAGTGTTGCACCCACACCGCGCTCAGCCAGTGAGTGGGAACCGGTCTCCACATGGGATCCAAACCCTCGGTGGGAGCGCCGCCATGCTCCCAAGCGGCGCACTCTCCAGTGCACCACTGGGCCGGCCCTAGATATTGTATTTTTAAGTTGTAGATGTCCACATAATTTTTATCCATTGATTCCAA